GATCCAACTATTTCATTATAAAAAATTTAAATTATTAACCATCTAGTAACACATGGTCCAGACACTTCTTAAGGAGATCTTTAAATCTTTCACAAGCTTCATAAATTGATTCTTCTTCAAACTGACAAAAAGATGTGATCATTTCTAAGCTTAACAATTTTTTATGGTGGGAAATATTTAGATAAAGATTTTTGTGATAAGTCTCCCAAAGTTTTGATAGATCCTAGTGCTAACGAGTTTAATCACATCTTAATTTTATCCCTTAATGAAAAAAAAAATTAAGTCTGACAGCATCATTCGACACTATCATATTTAAATGCAACACATAATTCTAGAAAACTAGCAAGACATAAGTTATGATTTTTAGTCGGTGTTCCACCAAACTGATTATTTTGTATCATTCAGATAATAACAGATTTAAGCTCAAATTAATTGACAACTACAACAGAATTTTGTATACTCAAATGAATTTCATCTGCAGTAGAATTAACATAATCTGTTAAAGGTAAATGATGTTGATTTTCAATTCTAAAATTATTTAAGCTTGTAGCCATTTTATTCAAATTGTCTATCTTTTTTTGTTGTTTTCGAATTTTTCTAATAGTTCTTTCTAACTTTGAATCGTAAGGTACTAAACATACCGATTTTAAACTCGCATACACAAACCAATAAGCAATTAAAATAAACAAACACACTAAAATATAAGAAAATTAATTAGACTGCAAATAATTTTTCTGTTCAAATAAAATGTTCTAAATTATAAAGTAATTTACCGTTACTCCACGACAACGACGCCAAAAATTTTAAGCGCGATTTTGTGGTGCGTTGCAAAAACCTTTCAATATTACAATACACACGACAACACAAATAGTAAATAGACAATTCAATTCCAATAAAAATAAATTCAGTATTAATAATTTTATCTTTTAAACTCTTTAAGCTACCAAACCGTAATAATATTGCAAGTACACGTATCGCTCATGTAATAAATGGGTCCAATGGAGTCCTAAGTATTGATCCCACATGAAGTTGAAAATTCTTATAGTTATAATGCAAAACACAATATTCAGACTAGAAAACTTAAATAAGCAAAACAAATCTAAAGTAAATTTAGTGTATGTTAAATGAAATGCAGTTAAATGAACTAACTTAACTAAACTATTTGCTAAACTTCAAAAGTAAACTTATAAAGACTAAATAAAGTTTTGTAACGAAGAGTTCAAATTTAAGAAAATATGCTTTCCCTTTACAATAGTTTATGGATTGTGAATTAATTAAAATCATTTAAAATACATATAGAAATCTATTGTGTCAAATAAGAGCAATCTTATTCTTTACCTTTTGAGAGTGCATAAAAAACATTGACTAATAAAGAGTTTAGTCCCTAAATTCGTGGTTTGGTTTAGAGGATACTAACTGTCACTCCAGAGCTCTCATTTCTCCTTCCCCTGAGGGCTAACAATCTCGCTTTAATTTCCAAACAACTAGACCAAATTGAAGATTTTAATCTATGAACTTAAAATCTCCGATTCTGCGCCTATCAAAGTATATTTCTTTATTTATTTGCACGCAACCCCGTGAACCACATTCTCACCCATGAAATTAAATGTGACTCTTACTTTGATGTAGAAAGCATAACCCTTTCGGATATTATGTTTCTCAATAAATTTTAGCATTTCAATTGACCAGATCGAAAAGAAACTGAATATCAAAGTTCGAATCATCACAATTTATTGACATTTAAAACTTTATATAACAAAATTAATTATTCTCAAAATCATATCTCATTGTAGGAAGAATGATAAAGAAGATTAGTCAGAATTCATGAGAAGAATACGACAAAATATAGATTTTATATATAAAAACAAGTTTACAAAACAAAGTAAGGAAATAATACAACTTATTTAACACTCATTCTCAAACAAATCCCTTGAAGTTCTCTTTAAGCATTTTCTCTCTTTACAATCACTTAACAAACTTATCTAACACAAAATGTTTAGAGATTTTATATATAAAAACAAGTTTACAAAACAAAGTAAGGAAATAATACAACTTATTTAACACTCATTCTCAAACAAATCCCTTGAAGTTCTCTTTAAGCATTTTCTCTCTTTACAATCACTTAACAAACTTATCTAACACAAAATGTTTAGGCACTTTATCTCTTTACAATCACACTCAATTATCTCTTAGAAATGTAATGGGGAAGAAATCTCTCACATTTCCTTTCCTCTTACGACTCTAGAAGAAAATTCTCTCTTCTCCCAAGACTTCTCTATTACGCCAAACTCTTTGTTTCAAACCTCTCGCCCCCTCTTCTTCTCTAAATTTCTCTCTTTTTAATTATTGTCAGCCTTCATTTCAAAAAGAATTTAGAACTCCCTTTTTTTTTTTTCCAAAAGACACCTCTTCACACCAAGATTCACACCAAGAGACAAATCCCTTGACAAATCCCTTCATTCAAGAGCATTTCCAAAGTGTCTAGATGCATTGAATCACTCAATGGGGTGTTTGAATTGATTTCAGCCTTCAAAAATCTCTAAAAAATAATCACTAACCGTCTTACTCCGTCTTAGTTCCTCTGGCGCTAGCCTATTGAAGTCCGCGTTGTTCTCTGGATTTTGGCGCCTTTGGCGCCAATTCTGGCGCTGCTTATTTGTAAAATGGCGCCTCCAGCCCCAGTTTCTGACGCTAGCTCTCTGGAAAATGACGCCTCTCGCGCCAGGAAGCTGAAATGCTCCGTTTTGACTTCAAATTTCTTCATTTCTGCTATTTTTTGCTCCAATTGCCTAAAATCGATATACTTGCAACAAAACATGAAAATATCATTCTTTAAAGTGTAATAGCAGCAAATTTAAGCATAAAATGAATACGTAAAATTGCACATTATTTTGGTGTATCAATCACCGCATCATATGAGAGACAATTGGAGCACTACATCGATGTCAGATATAATCCTCGAACGAAAAAAACCTAAATTTAGATATAAAAAAACCCCTAACTCCAAGCACATCATCTTTTGTTTATTAAGAGGCTTGAGCTATTTTAGGAAACACTTAAAATAAGAAGGAGAATAAAATCAAATTTTAGATTTTAGGAAATGTCTTTTAAAATAAGAAGAGAGAATAAATTCAGATATCAGAATTTCAAAAAAGATTTAAATTAGAAAGAGCTTAGGAAGAAAAGTAAGAAAAGAAGAAAAGGAAAGCAAAAGAAAAGAAGGGAAAATAGAAGGGAAGGAAGAGGAAGGAGGGGGCGACAACCCCCTCGCTTGAGAACCGCTCGGTCCAGCCAGGTTGGGTCGAGCTCAGGCCGGTCCTCCCCCGAGCCCCGCGTCAATTTTTTTTCTTACGAGTAGTGGAGTTGACGGGTCTGATAAATTTAATAATATTATTTAAATCATAAATATAAGAAGTTGCAATGATTACTCTATTAATCCTATCATCCTTCTTACGAGGACTGGAGCCGACGAGTCTGGTGAAATTAACAATAATGTCCAATTCATAAATTATTTGCAATTTCAATTTATCTTAGTCCAATACTCCTTGTTACAAAATTAATTTCTGAAGATGTTAAAACTGATGAATTCCAAATAAACTTTTTTCGATAATGGATGCGTTGACTGAAAATCTCAATCAAAGTTAATTTCAATTCAACATTACGTGTAAGTTTTCAAAGCAACATTCAAGTTAAAATTAATCACTTAAAAGTTTAAAACAAATCCTATCCACTATTCAGAACAATTTGTCGAGGGTGAAATATTTCTTATTGATTTGCTCACAAAAAGTAAATGTCATATTATGCTTATTCATATATTCAAAATCAAAGAAAATGCATGGTAGTAAGAACGTGACTCGAGTTCTCTAGTTGTTTAGTTTTTACTATCACATGACACTACAAAGTAGCGGTTACGACCAACGCCCTTTGACTGAATGGTTGATTTCAAATGCATCATTTTATTAAGAGCACGTCTGCATCCTATATATTCCTCAACGACTTTGTACTCTGAGTTATGAATCATAAGGGTACAATTATATGACATAAAGTCTTCTGTCATCTAAAAGGGTCATTGGATGACACAGCCCATGCCTACTGACAGTGATTCTTCAATCAATTGGGTTGACTGCCTTCTCTGGCTATGTAGATCAGGTTCCATGACAACCCAGGATGACGGAGCCATGAGATCTTGATCGGGTTCATCATTATTTCCCATATCATCTGTTTTAAGCTCCAGGGGATAAATTTTGCTATTCAAATTATATGTGTTGCTACTATATGCTAGATATTCAATTCTAAATGACTATTCTCAATTGAAATTGCTCTCTTGTCATCAAGAAGGGGTAATTGACCATATGGGCTTGCACCTATGGGAAACCTCGAAACCCATAGCAAAAAGTCCTTGCAAAATAAGGGTGAAATCTCTGGGTAGAGTCTTATCTATTACCCAATTTACCTTCTAAAAATTGGACCCTTCAAAGCTCTCTCAATTATATAAACAAAGCAGAAGGTCCGGGGGCGTCGAAATTTTTGGAGCCCTATATATGCTTTTCTCCTCGTAGGAGCATACTGTCCAAATTCTTCCCATTTAAAAATTTTTATGTATGTTCTTTGGACTGAAATTAAAACGATTTTTACTCTTTAAGAGTAATTTTAGCTGTCCTTCATTATGTCTCGGCAATGGAAGTTCAAGATATTCCCCGAGAAATTATCTTAAATAAAGGTACAATCCATGAATATTGCTTTCAGCTTGAAAATCCAAGTAATTTTATTTTATAGGACCAATTCGTTTCTCTTGCACGCACACAACCTGTCACTCTTTCTTTCAGAATATTTTTGGTTACCATTGCTGATAACATGCCAGAAAAAATTTAGACTGCTTGGCGCATTTTACATCTTCGATTTAATGGGTGGTAGTTATTGTTAATTAGGCAACCGAGAACTTAAATGAATGGTTTTATATTGATAACGAAATTCTAATACCAATGCTTTTAATGATACAGGCCTATGCATGAGATCACATTTTCAACGGTAGACAAGCCAAAGCTTCTAAGCCAGGTAGTTTCCATCTATTGTGGTTGGAATCCATGATTAGCAATTTTTCATTTATTTGTTTCCAAGTTCTTTTATGATTAGAATGCTTCCAATTTTCTCTGTGAAATACATTTTACATTTTTATTCCAGTTTTCTTCTTTCATGAATGTTTCTCATTCCCATTATTGTAGCGCAAATGTGCCCTTCTCTGTTCCTTTAGTTTCCAAGTGTCATGTGCTTACTGAATACATGAGTCAAAATTGACTTATGATTTTTTTTTTCATACCTTTTAAACACCATGTTCTAAATAGGTTGTTAGAATGTGCCCTGAATATTGTTGGGCTTGGATTGAAAACTTGGAGTGCGACATGGCAAAACCAAAATCATGGGAACTTTTTTGGTAGATCTATGGCGGTAGCGGAGTGATTTAGTTGATAGGCCCGATGTGGGAGCCAACAACTGATCTCGTGGGGGTATGGGGGTTGCACTACCTGTGGTATATACCTTTATTTTATTTTAAAAAAAATTTAACAAGAAATGTCAGAACTAAAAGAAAGTGCAATGAGACGAAAAAAGACGAAAATTACATTTGGATCGTCAAGTTTGAAACTTAGTAAAGATAGGAGAGATGATAAATTTTCTCTTGATTTTTGTTGCTTATATAAAAAGTGAAATCTTTTCCACAATAGAGTTGATAATGTTAATCATGGTTTAGAAATCGGTCGAGTCATTGATACACCTAAAATATATAGCATAATATATAGCATTTATGTATTACACCTAAAATATATAGCATTTATGTATACATTTTTATACTTATTTTTGAGGATATTGCGCTTTAATAGAAGGTATTTGTGTGTTTTTCTTTCAGGTACAATCAAATTGATGAAAAATGGTGAAAGTAGTGAAAAAGATCAAATTTGGAGAAAAAATGAAAAAAATGTGCAAAAGAACTGTGACGCCTAAGCGCCCAGAAGTGGCATTTAAGCATCAGGAAAACTGAGAAGACCGCGCCTAAGCGCCACATACCTCGCGCTTAAGCACTAGAAGTAGTTACTTGATGATTTTGATGATTCAATGAATTTGGACTCAATGAATTTGGACGAATTTTTGAAGGGGTGTTTGAAGCAACTCTTGGTGAAAATGTGGGATATGATTAATGGACACGAAAATACATGCAATTGACTTTTGAAAGGAGGCAACTCTTGGAAGATTCATTGAATGTGGACACATTTTTAAAAGACACCAAAACACCTTTTGGAAAACTATAAAAGAGGAGTTGAATTGGATTGAAAGAGCCTCCCTCCCCCCCAACGGCCCTAGAGAGACTCTCCTACGCCCCCAACTACTGACGCCTCTCTCATAGATTAATTAGGATACTTTTTAGAGAGAAGAAGAGAGTTGTGTGTGGGTAGAGAGTATTAGAAGAGAAAATATTCAAATGAATTTCAAAAGTTTGGTGGAGAAGCTTTGACATAAGTTTTTATCTTTGTGACTACATTCGGTTTTAATTTAAAGTTCTTGTTTGTTTTATCTTTGTTATCTTAATTTTTATCTTTGTGACTACATTTGGTTTTAATGGAAGTTGTGTGAAGTAGCAATCTTTAATGTTGAAATAAGTTGTGATGATTTTTAACCTTGTACTTCATTTACTTCTTGATTTGACCATTTAAGTTGTTAATATTTGTTGTGAAAACATGTAAGATCCGTGATGATATTGTTTCGATCAACTAATGATAAGAATCACATGAGATTGTTTGATGAGAATGTAATTCATATGATTGAGTGCAAATAAATAGGGAAATAATCTTTGAATGGTGTAGAGTTAGAAGACTTTAGAGTGACAAGCTAAAACCCCCAAGTTGGTTTATAGTTTTAGGTTTTGATATAAGATGTTAGCCCCCAAGTGGAGGAAGAAGAGGAGAAGGAACTTTTAAATGACTATGAGTCTTATTCACACACAAGCTGCAATCTTTCGTGATATTCCCTTGAACTTCTCGTTAATATATATATATATATATATATATATATATATCATTATGTCTCTTATTATTTTATAAATTTAAATTTATATTCTTGTTTCGAAAACTAAATTTGTTAAACTGTGAATTGAATTTTAAATGACTATAAGTCTTATTTTTAGATTAAGGGCTCGTTTAGGGCGGCTTATTTGCTGCTTATGCATTTTCAAACGCCGTGCGGGTGTTTGTTTCGTGTGTTTGGCGTGCGTTTCAGGATAAGTGATTTTTTTTTCTATTAGACGTGACACGTGGTTCGTCTCCCGCGTCTCGCGTATCCTTTTAGCTATCACGATAATACCCACGCCCTAGCTTCGATTCTTCTGTTGTGATTCTCTTTCTCTTGGATCGATCTGGTGCGTTTCTCCTTCTCCTCTCTAACGTCCCTCATCCCGTGTCATTCTTTCGCTGCGATTCTCCTTCTTCTGGATTGATCTGGTGCGATTCTCTTTCTCCTCCCCAACGTCCCTCATCCCGTGCCCTAGGTTTGTGTTCTCTGCTGCGATTTTCCTTCATCCTCTAGATTTCCTCTCTCTGATTCTCCTTCTTCTTAATACTTTTCTGTTTGGGGCATTTACTGAACTATGAATAATGGAACTATTTAGAAATGGAAGAAGATATTTTACAACCCCTAAAATTGTTGTTAGTATTGCCCTGATATTTTGGTGTCTATCATTTTTATCACATTCATTTAACATGCTCTGCCTTTCTACAAATTTCCTTTTACACACACACGACTCATTTCTTACGTATCTGCATATCACTTTGTGGTATTTTGTATGTGATATGAAAAATTTGGTTGGTATAAATGTAAAAAGTAAAGTTCAGGATTTAGTCATGTAAAGACATAAGAATTGGGTTTTATGAAAGTAAATGTTGCAATTTGACACATAAGAATTAGGTGGAATGTATCCAAATGCCCATTTTTTGTACAAATTCTGCATCCCCATTTTCTTTTACCTCCTATACATGCAAAGGAATTCGGCGATTTCTATGTAAATACATAGAAACTTTGTGATATGTATGTAAATGCTCCTTTACAGTTCTCATGATGCATTATACTAAATTTTGTTTGGTCTAACAATACATATTTTTTTAAATTATGGATTGGTTGTGGTGGATGTGTGAGGTGGCTTGGGCGTGATCTCCTAGCTTTGGGTGTGTGAGTTGTTGGTGGGTGTGTGAGGTGTGCTTGTGTGTGATGGATGTGTGAGGTGGCTTGGGTTTGATCTCTTAGCTTTGAGTGTGTGAGTTGGTGGTGGGTGTGTGAGGTGTGCTTGTGCATGGTGGATTATTGTGGTGGATGTGTGAGGTGGCTTAGGTGTGATCTTTTGGCTTTGGGTGTGTGAGTTGGTGATGGGTGTGTGAAATGTGCTTGTGTGCGGCGGATAGGTTGCAGTGGATGTGTGAGGTGGCTTTGGGTGTGTGTGTTGGTGGCGTGTGGTGGAGGTGTAAGGTGGAGGTGTGATCGGTCTAACAGTACATATTTCTTCTAACTGTGGACTGGTTAAGGTGGATGTGTGAGGTGACTTGGGTGTGATCTCCTTGCTTTGTGTGTGTGAGGTGGTGGTGGGTGTGTGAGGTGTGCTTGTTGTGCTTGTATGGTGGATTGGTTGTGGTGGATGTGTGAGGTGGCTTGGGTGTGCTCTCCTGGCTTTGGGTTTGTGTGTTGGTGGTGTGTAGTGGATTGGTTGTGGTGGAGGTGTGAGGTGGCTTGGGTGTGATTTCCTTGCTTTGTGTGTGTGAGGTGGTGGTGGGTGTGTAAGGTGTGCTTGTGTGGTGGATTGGTTGTGGTGAATGTGTGAGGTGGTGGTGGGTGTGTAAGGTGTGCTTGTTGTGTGTGTAAGGTGTGCTTGTGTGGTGGATTGGTTGTGGTGAATGTGTGAGGTGGCTTGGGTGTGATCTCCTGACTTTTGGATGTGTGAGTTGGTGGTGAGTGTGTGAGGTGTGCTTGTGTGTAATGGTGGATTGGTTGTGGTGGATGTGTGAGGTGGCTTGGGTGAGCTCTCTTGGCTTTCAGTGTGTGAGTTGGTGGTGGATGTGTGAGGTGTGCTTGTGTGTGGTGGATGCGTGAGATGGCTTGGGTGTAATCTCCTGGCTTAGGATGTGTGTCGGCCGTTTTATTGTTCAACTTCACTTTCGTAGTTTGAAAAGGTGATGATTTTGTGATTTTGAAAATAATTTAAATATAAATATAACTTTTTTAAAGAAGTAACGTTTTTTAATTTTTA